AAACCAGTAGCTTATTATGCTTTGAATAAATAAAATATGGAGTCCGTAGCAAAAGCGTAGAACATCAGGCAAAATACGATCGATATGAAACAAAGCTACGAAAGGCGCTACGTATGGTGCTACGAAGTGCTACAGGTGCTACGGCGATTCGTATGTTTATTTAAATCTTTATGTATCGTGTTTGAATTTATCATGGATTTTAACATTTCATTTTGTGTTCTTTTTGTGACTTTTTTAACATTAGATACTGTCTATAGTTTACGCGAGTAGTACACATTTAAATAAAACACTTTAACGGTTTAAAACGCGATATATTAGTTAAACTTATTTGAAATGAAAGTCACGGCGACTGCAAAGCATCCGAAACGTCGGGCCGAACTAAAAAATCATTTTCAAAGTTTTAAACCGTTAAAGTGTTTTATTTAATTTTTTTAACATTTCTTACTTTTAAATTGGTATTAAATATAACTTGAACACTCGAATAAATAAATGGAAAGAAGCTTACCCACTTGTATCTGTCTCTACGTTCATTTCTGTCTTTATATAACAATATTATGTTTTGATATCAAGATTTTAAAATATTCAGAAATGGACAGGCACGCATGAGGGTCACTCGATGAAGGATGAAATACTCAGTCATATAATATATAATAACGAGATGCGCTGTCAAACTATTTATTTTTTCATTACATAATATTGTATGTGCTATTTAAAGAATATCATAATTATTTAAGCACAGTTAACTATAAACATCTAAATAAATTTTATCTAGCCAATGTTCAAAAAGGTATGTTACGATAATTTTCGTATTATTAGGTATTTTTATACGATAATAATGGACAATAATTTTGATCAAATTTGATTACCATAAAAGCTATTCCTGCGAGGTTATCTTAAATGATAGACATATACTGTTGCAGACATTTTTTAGATCATTTAAGGAGGAACCGTTCTCTAATACTTTTTTGACCTTTTTGCAGCCTATGCACTGGAAGCCCTCAAAAATAAATAATCCATCCCGATTTTTTACAGTTTATTACTAACGTTCCTCACTAAATGATCTATTTAACACAAAAATGATTGTTCGTTGTAGTAGTTCTTGAGATTATGGTGTTTAAACAAACACGCTTTTAAGCTTTATAATATTAGTATAGATAAACATATATTGTTGGCAGCAGCTGTTCTATGTGGGTGTATTGTTTATTCATAAAGTACTATCACAATGGGTACAACAAAACAATAAACCTAATAGCGTCTCTACCTCGCAATAAATACGTGTGTGAGTACTATAAAAACACAATAAAGATGATTAAATATTGCAGGCTATTGTGTTGGAGTGCTTTCGCGGGCTTATGAGAATAATACGGCGCCTGTCTTTCTATATATCTTATTAGAGTGTATATAATATATAAAGCTGAAGAATTTCGTTGTTTATTTGTATAAACTCGCTAATCTCAGTAAATACAGGTTCGAATTGATAAATTATCGTTGTGTTGGATAGACTATTTATCGATATGTGATGTGACTAAAAGGAACTCGAAGAAACAGCGGGAAATGTCGCAAAAAACTGAGAATTTTTTTTCATTCTTGTGAGTTTCCATTGCGTACGCTGCGTTAAAGGTTCAAAATACCACGAACATATGTATGAAGAATGATTCATATTTAAAGAGGATCTACAAAAATGTCCGCGGCAGTATACCTTTACTTATTCGTCGAATTATTTAGTTATTATGTTTTTATTTATAAAAGTATTGAATAATTAAAATCAAAATTATATTAAAACTGCTTATTACAAATTGAACATCAATCTTGATACTGTAATAGAGATTATTATTTGAGATCATTATTATTTGAACATCCGTTGCGAAAGATAAAAGAAGATGCGTAAAACAAAAGGTTTAAGTTTAAATAACGAAGCCTTAACGTCTTCCACAGGTGCTTATAAAGTACCCGTAAATTATCGCGTCTGAATAATTCATGAAATAATTGCCTACTTTCACGTTGTTACGTTACGTGACATCTGCTGAGTGTTCAGGCTTTATCTAGACGTGTATATTTAGGATTGCCATAATCTGTTTCTATGTAACTTGCCATGCGACTTACTAGCTTGAGGACGTAAACGTTTGTGTAAACTGGAGTCTCATCAGTCATTTTCACACTTCCCACTACGGGGTCTCCCAACAAGGGTACATAGATACTGTATGTAGCTTACGCAAGTCGTACACATTTAAATAAAACACTTTAACCGTTTAAAACGCGATATATTTTAGTTAAACTTATTTGAAAACTGTCTCTCCGTAACCATGGCTATTGCAAAGCATCAGAAACTACGTCCCGTAGTTTAAATAATTTTCAAATAATTTAATATATATCGCGTTTAAAACGCTATATATATTAAATTGGTAACCGGTACATTGTTTTATTTAAAAGGGGTACAAAAGTCTTTATATATCGTAGCACGATATATAAATTTGTGAATTGGGCATATATAGAACACAATTATTGGTTTTAGGATATACTAAGTTTCTTACATTTTTTTTTCACTGTCTGTTAAAACTTATCAAAGTTCAGACATTTGTATGTTAAAACTATAATAATCATTTTGAAACAATATATTTTTCAAATTTACAATTCAAATCTATTTTATATTAAACATTTTTACGTATTAGACTTCATTTATTTTGGTTCCTCAGATAATATGCTTAGGTTATGCTAGTAGCACTGGCTTTGAATTCCGAAAAAAATATAACAATGTAATAATAAAATCTGTTAAGTAAAAGCGGTCCTTGAAAAAATAAGTTTAGTATTAGTAAGTATATAATCTACAATTATAAGTTATATATATAGATTATTTATGTATAATAATAATGTAAACATTTGTATATGATATTGTTTTAAATAGAATCTGATGTTTGAAATCGTCGAATCGTTAAAACTTCTAAGTAAAATGACTATAACCAATAAGCGAAAATACACTTGCTATTTGCACTGTGCTCACTACCCATACTAAAATTTGAATATAGAATGGTTAAAAGCCTTTCATTTTTCGTCTACAACAGGGTGAACGAAAATTGATATAAAGTCTAACTTTATGAAATATTTTGGCTACATCGCAGCGCTTTCGACTGAATCTTTTAATCTTTATATGGAAAAATTTCAACGATTTTTGCGATGGCACAGAATACTGATTGAACCAGAAGGAGTGTTTGATCTACGCATTATAAAATCACTTTTAGGGTAAAATAATAAAGGACTGTACATATTTACTTATAGAAGAAAGTATATACAGAGATGTGTAGAGATGTGTCTCTACACCACCAGCGATATATCCATACTACCAGTCTCTCAGATAATACTGCCTGTAGTTAATGCAAGTTATACTATAAGTTAAAGTTTTATTTACCGTTTAAAGTGTTTTCACTTTTAACCGTATAAAACACGACATATTTTACTTAACTACGACCTGACTAGTACGTAGCCTGGCATAGTTGTAGTAATTTAAAAATAAATGTATTTAGCGTTTACCCGTAAATTTTATTATCTTTCATCTTGGGTTGGCTGGAAGATATCGCTTGTTAGCGATAAGACCGCCTCTTACACTCCATGTTTTAGTTTATAAGTCTTATATCTTATCTTTTTCCTTTCTTTTGTGCAATTAAGGTCAATAAATAAATAAAAGATCGTCCACGTCTTATTACACCACTATGGTGTAGTCGCAAAGGTCCAACTCTGTGCTGGACTTCATAAAGAGCTTCTGGTTTCAACATTCTGTGTTTCCACGACGTTCTCTCAGCCTCTTTGTATTCATAAGGAGTAATAATGATCGATAGGCTACGTTCTGCCTTAAATGTAACCTTTAGGCAAGCAAAATTACGTGAACATTCATTTAATATCGTGAGGAGGAAAATATTGGTGAATCGTGGATAATTAAGCTGATTATGAAAATTATACAATAATAGCGAATTATGCAAAATGTTAAGCGTGAATAATATTAAAGGACGTTAATTTATTAAGCCTATTTTTATTGTAGAGGTACGAAATTAATATTAAATTTACGAGTTATTTACATTACAGTTCAAAACGCGATATATATAGGTAAACTAATTTTAACTACGGCCCGACGTTTCGGTTTCAACAGTCGGGGGGTCTGTGATAAATTTAACGTATTCATGACGTGTTTACATTTTAATGTGTTTTTCTAAATTTTACAATTTTATTAATAAACAATTTTTCGTCACTGTCAATGCCTCCTCGGAATCTCTTTACTTACAATCGGACTTTATAAAATGTTTTAAGGTTCTATTAACTTTGAGTATAACATTTGTTTGTTTGGGAATAAGGAAATATTCGTTAACTTAATAATTTTTCACATTTAGCATATGATAACACTAAATAAATTAAAAATCGATTTTAGATTGAAAATTTTACGACACGGGCAGGACTTGAACCGGTATGCACAACCTTCCGTGCTGTTGCTCTAACCAATTGAGCTACCGTGTTCCACACATCATCGTTGAACTTTTCAACCTATTGCCATGCGCCGCTCGCTCAATATAATTTCCACCTTAAAATTGTGTATTAAGGTTCAATGTCTTATGCAGCTTAAGGAGATAATTGAAAATGAAATTACAAAGCTTAACGTTTCAAAACTTCAATAATAACATAATTTTCACACGATGGTATCGTGTTTCGGTTTCAATCTATGGATTTCCGAATATCCAAAGCCAACATAGGTCAACATTGCATCTTGTTTGGATGTTATATGGCTGGGGTATTAATCATCATCATCCACCATCAGGTGAACTCCATGCTCGTCTGTCCTCCTCCATCATAAAAAAGTCTTATCGTCGAGTAATTCGTAAATTATTAATAGCATAATTTACACTTTCACAGAATGCGGTGGCAAGGGGTTGAAGGTAAAGTGAGGTGTGCGGGGTGCGGGGGGCAATGAGCGCTCCCGATCCAATTGTGCTCCAGGCACTGCAGGGGTTGATTACCCAATGGAGAGTGACAAGTGGCCTGGGCCGCGTGCCGTCAAGATATACATCTCATCGCTCTATAATGGTATGAGAACTCTTTACTGCCTGTGGCTGTAGGATAAATAAATTGAAGTTGCGGGTTCGATTTCCACAATCTCTTTTAAAACAAACTAGTACTATGATATTATCACTCTTGGCTTATTGTTTTGATACAAGTGGTTATTATAAGTTCTTTCCTACAAGTTTTTTGGATTTTTTTTTTTATTTTTTTTTGGAGGGTTAATGTGTGTGTTATGTTTTGTATAGGAGTGGGCTACCAAAATAGGTCAATATTGCATCTTGTTTGGTTGTTATATGCTTGCTCCATCACAATTTTTTTTTTTTTTTTGGTTTTTTTTTTTGGGGGTGGGGGGGGGGGGGCCCCCCCCTCCTTTTTTCCCCCCCCTTTTCCTTTTTTTTTCCCTGTTAATTTTCTACTGGCCCCGGCCCCTTTCCTTTTTTTTTTTTTTCTTTTTTTTTTTTTTTTTTTTTTTTTTTTTTTTTTTTTTTTTTTTTTTTTTTTTTTTTTTTTTTTTTTTTTTTTTTTTTTTTTTTTTTTTTTTTTTTTTTTTTTTTTTTTTTTTTTTTTTTTTTTTTTTTTTTTTTATTAATTTTTTAATCCAATTTATTTTTCAGTATGTAAGTTTTGACTTGAAAGGATAACATATTCTTACTACAACATCTAAATAGATTGCCACCAAACTTATCTGATTAAATTTATCAGTGCATTACACATTGTAATAATAAGTATAGTAAGTAGTAGCAGTATATAAATAGTAGTAAAAATATTTCTAGAAAATAAAAATACATTGTCATCGTCAGAAACGCATTTTTCACGCAAAACAATAGAGCAAGAGTTGTCTTAATTTTCCGAAACGTTTTTTGTTAGATAATGACAACACGCACTTACAATTATAATTGTACCATATACGACTTTAATAATATAACAATTTATATAAAAAACCAGTTTATTTTGTTTATTAAAAAAAAGGTTTGCTCTTAAATTACTAGGCCGATTTTAATGAAATTTAACAAATATATTCCTTACTTTTTGTTGCTACATTCCATTAAAAAACATTTAAATTCACAAATAGGTGCCTTACTTTTATATTACATGGTAATTAACAAAATCGAAACAAATGTGAATACAAAACAATAATATTTCCAAAATAGTATTCTAAAAAAGGTTTTCGATAGCTGTTATTACATTCAACTATATCTACGTTATTCTACAGCTATTGTTGAATTCTGCACTAACTTTTCTATCCAATTATTTTGAACGGAACGAAAAGCATAAAGCTACAATATCGAAGTGTTTTTTTTAGTTTTTATATTCCGCACGTTAGCCGTATAAAAGCTCAACAAAGCACGTTTAATGGCTCTAACGATCAAATATACCAATATCTATGTACATTGTACTAGCTGACCTGGCAAAGGTTGTTCGATCAAAATAATATTAAAATAGTGATACAGAACGTTATTCGTAGGAGGGCGCAATACATGGTTGTGTTTATATTTTAACGGTTTAACATTGTTATCATTTAGGCATATAAAAATGTATTACAAAGCCTACTTGATACGCACAGTATGTTATCAAAAACGCTTCAGCCGTTTTGGTGGAATTTTGGTTACTAACAGTTAAATGACGACAGGAAACTATTATAAGTATATGTAATATGGTTGAATTGATACCTACCTATTTTTTAAGCCAGGACTGAATTTGTATAAATATTTAAAAATTTGAAATATTACAGTCCCTCATAACCATAGCTTTTGTAAGTGAAACTTTTAAACTACTAAATCCTTAAAGTCAATTAAGTTTACAAATATTATTTTCATTTTTACTGTATCAGGTTATTTACGCGTCTGTATAGCCGTTAATTGCATTAGAGCAAGTAGCGTACGTACAGGATTGTTTTAGAGTTAAATAAAACATTTTTAATGGTTTAAAACAAGAAATATATATTTATGACATTGAAGTACGAAATTAAATATATTCAATACGTAAAAGTAACAAGTGAATACATAATCGATAACTACGGTTAAATTATATATATATTTATGTAATTAAAAACATTGAAAATTAATTTAATTAAAAAATAAAGAGGCGTTTTTTTTACCTGTTTTCTTTTTTTAGATTTTCGCGAAGAACGACGTCAGACTCTGGAATTGGTCGGTCCCGAATTGCAGTCCACGTACGACGATCGATATATTGAGGTGAGGATATTGATAGCTATATCCCAGGATTTGAACATAGAACATATGTCCTATGTTCAAATCCTGGGAATTTTAGAATTTGGAATTCCTAAAACCTGAAAATATTGTTAACCGCAGAATTGCCTCGCTCCTTCAAGTTTAATCAAAAGGTTGCGTTATTGAGCTTCCCAAGTATCTATATACATATTAACATTTTTCCCGATAATGTTTTTTTATGATAGAAAAGGGCATACAAGCTTGAAGTTAACTTGATTGTGAAATAACCCCAGTTAAATAGAATCTAAACAGATCTTCGCTTTTGGGTTTGGTAGTGGAAATCCACAGACGGTAACCAAAACGCGATTAAACTTGACTTTATCTGTAGACGACGATTCGGTTTCAGAAAAATTATAAATTGTTTAGATTTTTTTACCCGGTGGGGCTCGAAACCTCGACCCATTGATTAGCCATACATTACTACCGCTTACATAAGCCCGTCATGCGTTATTAATACTGAAGAAACTAATTTACTAATTTTTTTCTCTATATCATGGGTAATTTCTTTAATATTTTAGTGAAAAACTAAATATAAACAACAATAGAATAAACACCTGATGTAATTGATTACAAAATAGTTCAACTAACGGCCAAGCTGCTAAAATACGTTATTTAGTGGAATATTTATTAGCAAAGTTGCTGTTGGGTTATCCGTTACCCTTTGTGTTGTGTACAGTTGTTCGCCATTCTGCTGACACATTGATTTTAAACTTTTACCCTGAAACATTATTCATTTGTTTTCATGAACCTCGAAACCCTAATTAGGAGGTTCGTAAAACAACCGTCGAGTTTAGCTGGGCTCAATCAAAGAGCAAAGTTGGGGATTCGATTCCTGAGTCATATTTTTTTATACAGACAGGAATCAATGATTCTAATTAAAAGCATTTAATCCAAAACCAAAAGAGATCGACAGCACATCTTGTTGAAACGCTACTATAGGCTGGGATATATCGTGGACTCCATGCTTTAGTAGTAGTTTAGTTTTTTTTTTGCATGGTTTAGTGGGTAGTGGTCAAGCTGGCCGACCCCCACACTCCCCCCGCCACTTAAGTGGCCAGGCGGGGGCGTCGGTAAAGAGTCGATTCCTCCAAGTAAAAAAAAAAAAAAAAATATCGTGGACTCCATGCTTGAAAAAAATAAAAAAATGTAAACGTGCCATTGCTCCGCTACATAGTGTTAAATAGTATGTTTTATATAGCTTATTACTTAAAGCTAATTGGGCTGTTCGCCCGTTGTTATAGGTATAAAGGTTTACGCAAGAAATGAATTAGACTTAAGCGTAAACTTAATAATATACAGTACATATTACACACTTACTCCGCTGGCACAGCGATCCAAAGTGTGTTTTGGAGACTACAGAGCGCCATTTTGCCCATCTCGCGCGGCTCTTCGCCATTCGGCCACACCGAGGCCCGCGCAGGTCCTTCTCCACGGCGTCCTCCCAGCGATATCTTGGCAGTTGGGATTTTGATATACGCTTACTTCCGATCATCTCCCGTTCTCTCCAAATGGCCAGCCCAGCGAAGTTTTTGGGATTTTGCCCTCCTCTGACATATTACAAATGGGTTGCAACTGTACAATCATTTTTAAAAATCCAATACTAACACAATTGGTGTCGGTCATTCCTGTAAAACTACCTTAATTTGATAAGTAAATAAATACTACGTAGGTACTAAGTTATAAGATTGAAGTAGATTTTAGTTTTTTTAATTAGAGGAACACGCTACATCACCTAATGATGTCAACCTTTAATGACAAAACTTCGACCATTTCTCAATTACGACGGTCGAAAATGAAAACGCTTTGAAAATAGCTGCCAAAGCATCATACAATTTATATTGTTAATTGTAGATCGAGTTCGTGGATATGCACTACGGGACTGACGGAGGCGACGAGACTAATCCGGCTTTACTCAAATATCATCTCGACGAGATACGCTGCTGCAGTCGCGCTTCCAAAGCCGGATATTTTCTGGTAAGTTCCGGGATAATACGTAACCGTGTAATTTTTACACGGTTAGGTCACTAAACCATAATATAAGTATATGCCTACCAAAAAATATTTTTACACCAATGAACTACAAAGGGCGGCTACACAAAAACTATATAACAGTTTCACGGTGAATGGATTGAAGATAAGATTCATCAGAACTTGTAGATGTTTCGCACGATTCAACACTCAGCGTTTTTCTCGGGGTCGGTCACTTATCGTGAGCGAAGAAATCAATTCGAAGTTGCGTAATAAAGATTCCGTTTACGAAAAGGGAAAATTGTAGTGTTTACAGTTTGAAAAGTGAAACCAATGTTAAAATGACTTCATGTGAAGTTAAAATTATAGTTTAAGAGGGAGGGGAGGTAACCAGACCCAATTAATAGTGTATTGCAACTAATATATTACATTTGACATAGTTAATTTGGGAAAGTAGAATGCGTAATAGACTAACCTAGAAATACCTATATTTACGTGTTTTTTTTTATTATTTATATTAGAAACACGATTTTTTTTTCAATTTTAATGAAACATAAATATTTGGAAATTGTAGTTAAAATATATATTACAAGTTAAGTGACGCAAATATGAAATTAGCGGTACTCGTACATAAAGTGCGGTATATGTGAAATTTATTGTAAAATGTTATCCTTTATGGGCGTAATCTGACTTTATCAACCTATATTATGTAAGATACGAAAATATTGTGTATTTGTATTGTAGGTCTGAGATCAGCGAATGTCTAGTAGTAATAATATGTAAAATTAAAAAATAAATCAAAATTTACCCTCGTAGGGACTGTACTTATGAACAGACTAGTACAGTTAAACAATATAGATTATCAATTAACACTTACTACCAATTCTCAAATAAAGAAGATAGTACGAACGAGAAGAACTGGCAATAAACTCGCCGCCACTCCTATTATCGCCAATGTTTATTTTACAGTCTTCAGTTAGTGTACTTATTATTTTTTATTAAAGCGGGTATTTCCAAACCCCAAGCATTTTAGTAGTTTAAATTTCAATTTTTATAATTCTCCTTTATAATAGCTATAGATAGAACCAGTATTTTTGAAACTTTTGTAAGTATTGGTAATTTAGTTAGTAGAAGTTAGTCGTGGAGTTGAGTCTCATGAAATTAATACACTAGTACACTAACAGTTACGAATTAAATGGTCGAACAATTAATTAACAATTAAAATACCAACTACATATTCCGATACAAGAATGGAGGTGAAAGCGCTTTCGTAATTATAGACAGCTGTAATTTATCATTCTTCCACGTTATTCACTTTGGGTGAATTGTCTGACCTTTTTACCAAATGAAATGTTGATCGATATTCCATTTAAGAATTTAATTACAACACGATACAACAAGTAGTTTCGTAAATAAATATTCTAAGTTTAACTATGACTTAAGCACTTGTAATCTATTATTTCTCACACATGTGTTAACACATGTTATGCCTTCATGGCATAATAAAAATATATTTATTATAAACCAGTCGCATCTTTATTTTATTTTTATCGAAAATATTAAAATAACCTTATTAAAATAAAACATTGTTTACAGTGCATAATTGGCGGCGAAGCGTCTTCATATCAACCAGTGTTGCCATTTACGATAGAAAAGGATGTATTTGAGAAGCTAGTGAAAGCCGAAACGTCACAGAGCGACCTCATCCGGGACTGCTATACAAGTAACGGCGCAAGTTATCAACTGAATGACGAGAAATGGTAAGGATAAAAGTTCCTTTAACACAAGAATTTCAAGAGAATGCCCGTTCTTCTCATAGGTCAGGCCAAAGATAGACAGAAAATAATAAATTATTTAATTTTATTCACGTTTGTACATAACCGTTAATTCGTCATTCGCAGGATATTGAAACATAAGGCAGATACATATCTGTGTCTGTTGGACACTGATATATGTCCGACTGAATCTATTCGCCACTACACCGTTGGCCTCTGCAGTTATTATAAATACATAGCTTAGGATGTCTTTTTTGCTGACTGTACACTTATCAAGTATAGCGAGTTTGAAAAAGATCTATCCGGGTTTATTAGACAATATAAATTAGTCCCAAATGTATATTGCCCAATAATTTTATTCAAATCTTTTGTTTGGTAACTTTCGTATAACACTTAATGATCTGAAGAATGATATTTAGAAGATGAATTGTCGGCCTATCTTGGCTATATTTGTAACTTTACAGATATCAGATACCGAAACGCCATCGCGTTTGATATCTGATATTATCTCATATCATAAATCACGGTTTTTCATCTGTGTTTCGGAATTTTGACACTCGTAGCAAAAATTTAACATCCACGAAGTGTATTTTTCAGAAAAAATAAAAATTATTTAGAGACATGTTAGAATAGATTCTAAATAAATATTTATAAATTATAGTTTTTAATGGTGATTAAAAACCCAATCGTGAATAGTGTCTTTGGTTTACGCGAGTACACATTTAAACAAAACACTTTAACGGTTTAAAACGCGATATATGTTTAACGTATTTGAAAATTATTTTTAACGGCCCAACGTTAGTTAAAAATAATTTTCAAATAAGCTAAACATATATCGCGTTTTAAACCGTTAAAGTGTTTTATTTAAACCTAATCATAATAAAATAAGTGAAGGGTATATAATTTAGACTTAATTGCAAAGCACCGTGTACGCCATCTCACGTAAGTAGGGGACTCCCCGCTCACGAAGGATCTGGGAACCATCCAGTCGGTATGCTATTAAGTGGATATTAAAAACCTTAGTCTTCGTTACGTATTACCATCAATCGTGAGGGTAAACCAATAGTATTCCAAGAGCCCACTCATTACCCACCATTTAGGCTGTAACAATTTACGATCACTCCCAAAAACGAGATCCGATTACTCAGTAGCCTCGTAAAATAAATACTTTATTGCATACTACGTTGTCTCTGGGTAAATTTTTTTCTCCCCGAAAAATTTTTTTTTTTTGGGGGGGGGGGGAAAAAAAGGAAGAAATTTTTTTTTTTTTTTTTTTTTTTTTTTTTTTTTTTTTTTTTTTTTTTTTTTTTTTTTTTTTCCTCAAATATTCGTCAGCGTCGTTAACCGACAACGGCTGATAAAAGCGGAGTACGCTATTAGGTTTATTTTATAATAGGTGAGTATGGGAGTCACTCAATGGAAAGTTAAAAGTAGTAGCCCTATTTAATTAAACTATCTGTTTAAATAAAACACTTTAACGGACGCTATATTTTAGTTAAACTTATTTGAAAATGATTTTTAACTTCGGCCCGACGTTTCGGATGCTTTGCAGCAGCCGTGGTCACGGAGAGACTGCAAAATCATTATGTATATATAAACGTTTTAAACCGTTAAAGTGTTTTATTGAAATGTGTACTACTCGCGTAAACTATAGACAGTATTTAAACTAGATGTGCCAACAATTTCGTCCGTGTAACAAGGGCATTTAGTGTATCAAATTTCATCATCAAAAAAAACATTCAATTCAAACCAGTAGTTTCCAAAATCGCGCGTTCAATCAATCAAACAAACTCTTCAGCTTTATATATTAGTAAAGAGTAAAGTGTTTGCCTATATAGCTATTAAGTAGTTTAATATAGAAAAAAACAAGTACGATTCTATATTGTTGTTACTTCAATAAAATGACCGCTTATTTCTAAATCGTTCTTCCATCAGGTACAGCAATTTATTAGAACGCGAAGAAGAACGACAGCAGCTTTCAACGGTTCAGAAGGCTTTCACTTCCCTAGCACTGGAGGCGTATGACAGTGGCCTAGATGTTGCAGATTTATTGCGGAGCCCCGTTGAGATACAATGCGATGTTGCTTTGGGTAAGGAATATTGTGTTCGCTTTGTTTCCTCCGTCGAGGTATCTATGAACGGAATCTAATTGCAATACTAAATAATGTACGTGTTTAAATAACACTTTAACGAAATATATGTAAATTAAATTTATTTAAATAAGCCGACGTTTTGGATGCTTTGTGGCAGCCGTGGTCACGGGGATATGTATAATGTAAGTGTATTATATGTTTCTTTAATTGACATTTTGGTTTATAAAAAAGTGTTATGCTATTAAAAAAATAAATATTGACCATTATTTTAATTTAAACTGTTTTTATAGATACATTTAACGGCTTTATGGAGGATACATTTAACGGCTTTATACCAAATTTTTTTTCTTAAATACGACCCGACCTTGAAAATTTATATCCCTTTACGTTATAGTGTATTCAAGTAAAACATTGAAATTTTACATAGGAAATTTACAAATTTTATAGATCGCAAAAAAATTGACTAGATGCAGTCTCAAAAAAAAAGATAAATAAGTCGAACTCTTGAACAAAAGGCTCTCTTCACTTTATTTCTTAATTTTTTCTTTCAGTTGCCCTTTATTTATTTTATTGTAATATTATTTTAAAGTTAAATTATGACTAAGTATTTTGTAAATATTTCAAGTCAATACGAAAAATCGAACTTGATGGCGGGGTCCATTCCTATATTAAAATATTTGTTTAAATTTTTATAGCGGCAACAGAATAATCATATGATGAAAAAATTAACTCTCTAGCCAAAGCGTTTCATGAGATATCAGGTGACAGGTAGAAGTAGTAATATAAATAAATGTTTGCCCTTTCAAGTACTTCAATCCTAAAAACAATCCGTAGTAACTGAAATTGAACAACGCAACTCGGTATTCTAAGAACCGATACTGTATACATTCATCGATAAATTGAACATTTCCACGAACTCCTGTATTCGAATTACTTCAAATACCATTTATAAAAGTATCCAGCAACTACCTCTAACACCCGACGTCCTCCACATCTCGTCATTTTTGCCAGTTAATCTTAAAAGATAGTATATATACTGCAGTCATTTTTAATTCATTTAAAGGGGAATAATTCATAAGTAAAACATATTTTTATGGGTAATACAGCCTGTTTCCCCGTATTTTTCACATTTCCCATTGTATCTTCTTTGATCTCCTTATTTTTATAGTTCGCTTTCTCGATAAACAATCGATTTTTAACCAATTCTTGATTTTGCGCGTTCAAACAAACAAACAAACTCTTCAGCTTTATATATTAGTATAGATAGCATTCCATTTATAAAAATATCAGGCAATATAAACGGAGCACGGCAATTTGTAATTATTGGTTCCAAAGATTTCTTTGTATCGTATTTCCGAGAGGGAATTTTACAGCTGTAATTTCGAAAAGGGAAAAACTAGAGCGACCTAATTCCTCGGAATCGCTGGAAAACGTCGCACAAACCGTCGCACTTGTTGATTGCACTGCAATTTGTGCGGGGATTAAAAATATAAAACCCTTTCCGATGTATTGGATAAGTTATTGACAAATACGATACAACAAGAGTACGTAAACGATTTTTGCAAGATCTATTTGTCAATTTTATTTATTAAATTACAAGTTCATTCTTGTACAGTATATAAATTAAATTACTAACAATTTCTAAGCTTACTAATAAAATTTGTTAAATGTTTATAACTAATGTAAAACAAGAAAAACAGCCTATTTATTATTACATTTATTCGTTTTTCTCGTCTTGATTTTGGTGATTTTAGAAATACATATTTTGATCGTCTTTTTTCTTTTGAGTTAGTTTTTTGTTTCGGTTTCAGAGTACATACTCTTAATACATTTTTACTTTTAAAATGGTAAGTATTAATATTAAGAGTAACTGTTATACTTTTTTAAGAAAGAGTGAATGTATCCCGTTTATTTTACTACGTGAAAATGGTTCATTATTTTCCTGAATTCAAATTTTTAATACAGTGGATATTTGCTTTATTGGTTTTTTAATATTAGAGGCAGTCAGATAAGCATTAAGTTCATTTGTTGGTAGGTGGAAATACCCCAGCCTATAGTATCTAAACAAGATGCATTGTTGACCAATTGGCTGGATAATCGGAAATCTATAGATTGAACAATATAATTAGCTATTATCCGTGTCGGTAGTTCTACCGGTCGGAATTTCATTTCCTACACCCTTTAATTTCCAAATTTCCAGACGCAGGCCAACATGTTTCAGAAAAATAATAATTAAAAAACAAATTTGAACCAGTGGGGACGACCACAAATATTATTAACGTAATTCTACCATTACAACAAACAGTCAAAATAGTTTGAATAAATTATTATATTGAATACATACAAACGTTAGGAGTTTATCATTCCTTTAATTCACAAATTGGGTAAAAAGAGTTTTTATAAGGTATTACCAGTGGACTCGTACTGAGATACTTTTAAAGCCTTCTAATTACTTATGTCTTTTGTGTTGATAATGATCAAATACCTATTTAACTTTGTTGTGTTTAATTGTGATGTTATAATATTACTAAGTGATGTCTGTAGTTTACACGAGTAGTACAAATTTAAATAAGACACATGAAACCGTTTAAAACGCAAATCATATTAGATAACATATTTTTAACGTGACCAAGATTGCTGTGTGAAAATAAATGTACAATTAGGTAACTAATATTTCAATCATTAAAAGTACTCTACGAACTCCATGGAAAAGCACTGCAGTAAGTGCGAGCTGTTCTGGGTTTCAATCCCGGGAAAAATTTAAATACATCCATGACGTGGTTGGGACTCGAACCCTAGTCAGTCAGGCTAATATGTTTGAATTGTTTTATTTAACTTTAAAAATAATAAACGACACGGACAGGACTTGTACCAGCATTCACAGCGTTAATTTTTTTTTCTCAATTTAAAATAGATTTTTAATTTATATAGTGTCATCATGTGCAAATTAACACATGAAAAGAAAGATTTTAAATATTTGACGTTTTTAACCGTTAAATGCGTTTTATTTAAAGTGTTCCATTACCCACAAAAATGTGTAGAATAATTGTACTTGTAATTTCTTTCAGAACTCCTAAAGACTGGTAAACACCCTAAGGGCTTAATAGTTGCACATCGAGAACTATCCGCGTTAGAACCAGATGATAATAAATTAACGACCATCGCTCACGCAAGATTAAAAGCTTTGCAGAAGAGAATAGAGGACATTTTACCAGACACTCATATTATTTATCTGGAGTGAGTATTAAAATTTATTAGACAAAGAATTTTATATCCTTTCTTTTGTTAGAGTAGGACACACATGCTGTAAGCAATTAAATCTACTTGATGGAAGATGAGATACTCCCCAAACAATATGTAGAGATGAAGCACTGTATTAGGTTTACAATATTTAGAAAATCTTAATTTTCCTACGCAATTAACAATATGCAATTGATTATTTTATTTTTAGAGCATCTTCAGCAGACTCATCAAGAACAGATGGTGGATCAGACAGTGAGGAGAAGTTATCGCCATTCCGACAAAAACTACAGACTGTAGTCAGTTCCCTGATCGATGACAGTCTTAGTACAGAACCAGATCAGGGCAAGGGGAGAAAAAAGACTGTACAGGTACAATTCTTAAGCCATAAAATGTACCTTAAATAGTCGAAAGATCGTTCGTTTCCCTGGCCTAAACTTTTGTGTGCCTTGATTGTATGAGAGTTTGAAAAAAAAAAAGTCGAAGTAGGCAATCGATTATCATACAATAGTCCATCGAGGCAGAACTATGTAATTTTTTTTTCTTGTAATTTTTATCATGTATAATATCTTTAATGGTTTTTGAAAGCAACTCGTTTAGGTTTAATAAATAGATTCTTCTAAAACCAAGTAATTGTTTCCAGGAAGTATTCCTGGAGCACATAACTCATCTTAGGATATGCATAGAGCATAATCGAAAATACCATCTCACCGTGAAGCACATAAAAGACACAGCCGAGAGCATATTGAACAACGCGAAAGAGAACTACACGAATAAATCGAGACACCCGCCAGTTTTAATACACGGCCCAGATGCGTCTGGCAAGAGCACGTTATTGACGCACCTGTATTATAAGTGCGAAGAAATATTCCCCAAACCGGTGTTGAGGATCATCCGGTTTTCGGCATCCACGCCGCGATCGGCCTATAACTTGGAACTGTTGCGAGTGATGTGCCAACAGATGTCGATAATTTTGAACATTCCAGAAGGTTACCTGCCGAAGGACGCTAGTTTCGACCCTTTATACATCAATAATTGGTTTCAAAGTCTTTTGAGACGCTGCGAGGAGATGGAGAACCAAATTCTACTCATCTTCATAGACAATGTTCACCGAGTGAATCCTCTCGAATGCGATATAGTGACAGGTCTATCTTGGTTACCGATGTCGCTTCCGCGAAACGTGTTTCTTGTCTGTACGAGCGCTGTATCATTAGATCAATTACAGCTAACCCCGGCCCAAAAGGAGAAATTCAAGGTGCAAAGTTGTTATTATTTGCTGGAAGCGATCGAGGATATACCGGAGAATGATAGCTCCGGGGAGTACGTCGATAGTGCCTTTGATAATTTAGAAGCTGTGTTTGGAGCTAAGGCGTTTAGTAAATTAGCAGGTGATTGTTATAGCGTTGAGACTCGGATGTTTTGTGGAGTTCGTGGCTGCCAATGTCAAGTGTCAAATAGATAATAACTGCATTATTAAAATTAATGATTTATGCAAATATAAAACCGTTGTCTCTCCATTTTTATAGGACCATAGCAAATTAAAGTCAATACATTTGAACATTTAAATTAAGTAATACCATCTAATGGAATTATTGCCTAATTAATTTCTTGAAATTCAATACTTTTTAATTAAAATTGAGATATCAAGAATCAGCACGGATCGCTGTGGATGCCGATTTAAGTCCTAAATAAATCTTTGATTACGTTTTTATCTGCTGCCAGTACTAAAAACGTAGTTCCACAACTCAAAACTCCTCTGGGTCTCCAGATATCTGTGCTCATATTAACTTAGTACAAACTATCATCGCGAATTAACAAAGTTTATTCCTTTGTTTCATAGGCTACATAACTTGTTCAGAGTTCGGTCTCACAGAACTAGAGTTATTGGAACTTCTGATGCCTACGAGTAACAGTGAAGCCGTCATAACACTCAAGGACGCGAACTTTAACTTTTCGACACTGTGCGTCGCTAAATATATAATGATGAGTAAGTATTTTAATTCTTAAAGTTGAACGGGGAAGTTTCGGCTTTACACGGCTGCAAAGGAAGTTTTAACAGAAACCCTATTCGCCGTAGGGTAGGTCCGTCTTTGTGTGTGTTTGCTGATATATTTTATGTGTAGGCAAGTTATGCTCAGTTTCGTGTATATATAATGTAACACGAAACTGAGCATAACTTTTCGTATTATTTTGACCTTATATTTTTGTGCTTCAAAAATTCTTCCTGAGTATGTTTCGAGATTATTGTTCTCGAAATAATATCATAAGTTATATATCTTTTTACGTTGTAAGTTAGGTAAATAAGAAATGAGAAAGCTATGAAGAAACTATGAATACATTTATACGTAAGATTATTCAAAAATGTACAATCAGCGCATACTGACTATTACAGCTGTCGAAGCTGGAGAAAAAATGCATAATATTGAAATGATGGTGATTATAAAAACAATGAATTTAATTAATTTAAATGTAATCATTTTGTCGGTTCCGTACGATCCCCTTCATCGAATTATTTCATCGGATTGATTTTGTTTTCAATTATGGTATTTTGTGAAACGTGTTTTATTTAATATCTGGGAAATCGTTCGTGTGAGTTTTCACTTCACATTTTAAATCTGTATGAACAATAAGCCAACAATGATAATAGAAATTTAAACCTTAAATCAGATTTTGAAATAAAATATACGAATGTGTAAGACTGTAAATGTGGTTAGACAATAACTCGTGTAACGTAAGAATGTGTGTGACACTTAATCCCTTGTAAATGTTATTCTTTAATGAAGTATTTAGTTGTATTTATACAGAGAGGTGGTGTAAAACTATAAACTTTACTCAAGTAGTTTATCAGACTTAACCTTAACCTACACGAAACAATTTATTATTTCCTCAGGATTTGAACCTAGGACCTCTCGCGCTTTACGTAATTTATTTACGTAAACAGTATTAAATTTATACCCTTAAATGTTCTATAATAAACATTATGTCTCATCTTAGAATCGTTAATCAGCGAAAATGTGGTATCCGGCCGGAGTACGTGGCGATGGCGCGCCGCGTCCGCCAGTGCTAGAGCGAGGCGGCGATATGTGCGAGTGCAAAGCGCTTTACGCGATGCGCATTCGGACTTGGCTGCTTTACACTTTGCGAGTTTCCTGTGTGACACAGACGACACTGACACGTCGGAAGCACACGAACCAGGTGAGGAATCGTAGCAGCGCTACGAGATCGCTACGAGAATTAGCTACGCGCATGTTACATGAGACTGCTACGTATACTTTTTTTTTGTAATTTTTAAAGAATTATACACTTTGTAACATGGCGTGTTAGAATATCACATTTATTTGAACGCCAAAATTTATTGAGTTTTACAAAAGATACGAACACAAGTTTTTGTAATTTGTTTTTGTATAAAAAAAGTACTACGTCAAACAATAGGTGAACCAATTATTTAGAAACTATGTATTTTTAAACTTCTTTATTTCGACAAAAATATAATTTGATTTTATTTAAAGCCCTTAAAATACTTATAACTGTGTTTTGATATTAAAATGCCTAAACGCCACGTCTTGAAATGTGTCAACGCGTGACGTCATATTCGCGGTTTGCAGGAATTAGTTGCACTTAATGGTTGCCCACAAGTGACGTCACGTACGTTGCTGCTTCAGTACAGTTGAATAATTTCATTATTAACTAAAGTTTATTTTTCCAGTTACATGTTGGAATTTTTTTTTTTATTTTATTTAACAAAAATTTTAAAACCACTTTTTCTCGATCTAAGTAGATTTAAGATTTTGAATTTACTGCCTGATTATATATAATTGTAATATTTTCTAGTAATATTATATATGGTAGGGAAGATTAGGTAAAATCAAATATACTGTCTGTAGTACACATGTACATAAAACACTTGGACGGTTTAAAAGCAATATAAATTAGTTAAACTTATTAGAAAATTATTTTAACTGTAGCCCGACCTTTTAAGATGCTTTGCAGGAACTTTGGTCACAGGGAGACTGAGTCAAATAAGTTAACTAATATATATCGCGTTTTAGACCGTTAAAGTGTTTTTTTAATGAAATAATAAGCTGACATGAAAATTGAAAACTGCCCCAGGATGTGTGGAAGAGGATGACGCGTTACTAGACTCAACGCCATTCCACTCAGCAAGTCGAACAGCCGCTGCCTTCACGCAACGACATGTTGAGGAGTCCTGGCTGCATCTCCTCTTAGCCGGAGACTTCTCCAAGCTGAAAGACTTGACTGTCTGCAATTTCGACTTCTTATTGGCTGCTGTAAGTTTAGTCTAACTACTCTTCATATGTTTGTTGTTGTTATCTCAGGAACTACTGGTTGGCGAATTAAATATATTTGTTTGTGTCGGTTAGAACTTTATCGAAAAAAGTTTAGACTTATGTATATTAAAACGATTATAAACTGAAGAAAGAGTGGGAAGTGAAAGAACGGTGAACATATAATCGGTCTTAGAGGGTTTATGTTGTTGCGCGTGAAAGATACCCAAAAAATATGTATGAAAGAATAATTCCGCTTTTAATGAACTAAAAAAATAGTTAATCTTAAAAGATGGACATATAGGTCTATCTTCTAAGACTCACATGTAAGAACGTCACGATGCGACCGGCTATTTTTTTATAAAGGTCACAAAAATAATGTTAACAAATAGCTATTCTACACGGAAGAAGTCGCTGACACAGCTATTCCGAAATACAAATAGGACACTATCTGCCCCATACGCCGTCTAAAGGACGAGACTTTCACACACACAGAGTTACTGCGACCCTTGAAAAGATTAACGCACATTATTATATTATTATTATATGTTTAGACTACAAGACTAAACGTATTGAATTGAATTTTATCGATTTTAATCCGTTAATAAAATATTTGAACCTACTTTATTAACAACACAATATTTTTCAGGTGCAAACAGTTACCATATCTTACCTCCGCTGTATTCTCGAACACGTACGATGTTACATTCTTGATCGCGACGTGGAGCTAGTGTATGGGGCAGTGAGGAAAGCCAGCGATATCCTCACCAGGGATCCAATGCAATTGGGAGCACAGGTTAGTATAAAACGTATTTATTATCTAATATACAATACCGTCGTTGCTTTATGCCATTCTTGATAGATTTTGCTTAGAAGTCTTAATAAGATTCGTATAGTATTTACTATTGAAGCTTTCATAACGATTGAATCTTACGACGGAATATTAAACAATTCCTGAAGGCTTAAACCAATCGGCTTTTAGTATATTACCTAATATTTATAAATAATAAATTGAAAAATAATAATTACTTAATGTCAATCGGTCTTAGCTGTGTACTTGTACAAAATTCAATGCCTAACGAAAAATTTTTGTACATTGTAATAAGCAACGGCACACACATTCCGAAATTGAATTATAAATACTAAATTAAAATTAAGTTTAGAAAAAACCTCAAGTTCCATGAGTGAAAAAAAGGAATAATAAAAAAACTTTTTATCGGTTTTAAACGCAAAATATATTGGTTAAATTATTTACCATTTATTTCAACTAAAACTCGACGTTTTGGATTTAAATAATAATAAATAATTAATAATTTAAACAGTTAAAGTGTTTTATTTAAAAACTTTAGAAGTGCCAAATATTTCATTTATTGCGTTCTGTTTGCAAAATACATGATACCAACATTGTTTAAATTCTGACAAAAGTAGCTTATTTCAACATAGTTGGATAAAAGGAAAAATAGCAAGCTCAAATAGTTCACATTTGCCCGTAGGCTTAAAGATCAAACAAGCAAAGTTATAATCAAAGAGTTTTGATATGTTGTCGAACCGTTATTTATCTTGACAACAATGTACAATACAAGCTTTTGTGAGAGAATTGTAGGTCAAATTCTTTGATGATCTTTGCGTTTAGTTACTTGTTTGTACTTGCATGAAGAGACGGAACTTGGTTAATAGAAAAAAGAACTGTTTGCATAAATAAGAAATTGAATTTATAAGATTGGTCATGTAAAAGATATAGAAATACTAAACGTTAAATATTGCTTAAACCATACACAATTAAATTAAGTATATCAATAATAATATAATATCGTCTATCCTTGAAGTAAATATAAATTTTATTCAATAAGGTTGAAATGTTTCTACACATGAATTTCTGAGTATTTAGTTGGGTTTATATCAATCTGTCGCATTTCCGGGTGGGAACTTGGGGCCTTTCTTTTTTAGGGCGCTGCGAGCCACACGTTTAACCAATAAGCTATAAAGGTGGTTATTTTATTTGAGTTTACAAAATTACTTTAATAAAAAAAATGACTGAACTAAATTAACTTTTAACATAAGTTATAACCTCGGTATAAATAGTTCTCCATATAATACAATTTAATCTACCACCAATCTTAATATTAATAGACTTTAGTCAATTATTCACGAAGATCCATTCACTATGCAATATTAATCATTGATGGTACGATAAAGTAATACAATAGTCCTCAGACCTGTATAGATAACAAACTAGATGTGACAGCGACTTCGTCCGATAAAATTTTGGGCATCGAAATTAGTTTTTACAAACTACCTCATCTTTATGCTGTTACCCACGAGGTTGGTCGCATCTCGTCATTCTTGTTAGTGAATGTTAAAAGATAGACACCGTCAAAGATGCATAATTTTCCCAATTTTGTCCTCATTTTCTCGATAAATGGTCCATCTAAACAAAAAAAAACTAAATAAAACACTTTAACGGTTTCAAACGCGATATATTAGTTAAACTTATTTGAAAATGATTTTAAAATAAGTTTAACTAATATATCGCGTTTTAAACCGTTAAAGTGTTTTATTTAAATGTGTACTACTCGCGTAAACTATAGACAGTATTTAAAAAAAAAATCTATTTGACCCAGAAGTTACAGTAAAATTAGCACGTTCAGAACAAACAAACTCTTTAACTGTATCTAATAAGTATAAATATATGTCGGAGAATTATTACTTTAGTAATTCGTTAATTTTCGCCACTCTGAATTTGGGCATACTCTACTCATACATACTCTGTGCTATGTCACTGTCATAGTTGACAATCTATAGAGTCAAATCTCTTTATGATCTGTCACAGAGTCAGTTGCGCGACTGTTTTGATTACTAAACACATGAACTCTCGACGCAGTGGCGTTCAGCGTCGCTTGCGCCGGGTGTGCTCATTGACAATACGGGCACAATGGCGACCGAATATGATAACGGGCCCGTTGGTCTAGTAGCAAAGTTTCTTCTATTGGTAACGGGTCGTTCGATTGATTAGCAGACAGACACAGAAAAATAATTTGGTAATGTATACATTAAACTGGTAAAAAGCGAATTACAGTACTTAATTTATTCACTATTTATTTTGCCTAGGGCCCGTCATTACTGATACTTTGCAGACGCTGTGGTCACGGGGTGTATTAAATATCCATTTTTTCTGATCACGTCACGTCACATGTTTCTGTAAGTACAAAGATTTATTACATAAAACACTGTCCAGCCGCCGTAGTTCCCCCCGTGAGCATGGCTGCTACATCCTTATCCTTACTAATATTATAAATGCGAAAGTGACTCTGTCTGTCTGTCACTCTTTCACGCCAAAACTACTTAACGGATTTGAATAAAATGGTATACAGATGGTCTAGACTCTGAGAAAGGACATAGGCTACTTTTTATTGCGAAAAGGGGGTTATAAAGTGTTAAAAAGGGCTGTAAAAGTTTGTATAGAAATTCGTAGTTTTTGAAGCTACAACAATGAAACTTTCTTCTTTGGCTTTTTGGGAATAGGAGTGGGAGTAGGGGTGGGCGTGAGCGTGGGAGTGATAGTGGGGGCGAGTGTAGGAATGAGAGTGGATGGATTTAGACTAGGAGTGATGTGAGGTGACAATATTGCGGCATAGTAGCACTTACCATCGATTGGCTGTCTTAGATGCGCAATTACATAAATGAATAAACAGTCTCAATTATGAAAAAATCTACCCCAATTCACTATTTCATGCGGATGAAGTCGCGGGCACAGCTAGTTGTTTGTAAATAACATTAAATGCCGCTATATAGAAAATACTCCATAGATCACACACATCACATTACATGAGAATTATAAACATTCAGTACAAACATATGTTTCTATAGAATATACATAGCCCTAACCTAGATTTTTGATGAGTAAGCACTCGTTACTCGCAACTGCGAGCTGTTGCAATTACCCCACTGTAATGAGCTACATTGCCCTGACTCCGCAACCCCAGGAACTGAATCGGATATAATACGCATGATTCATGTGTAATTAAAGCGTACATATAATCAAACAGTGTATAAAGAAATTACCGATCACTTTTTAAAAGTTTTGAACGCGAAATGTATTCGTTAACCAAATGGCACGATGTTTTGTCTGTCCTCCATTATCATTAAAAAAATGCCGAGACCACGTCTTGGCCCGTGGCCACGCTAGTGGCCAGGGGCCATGGTATGTTTAGTTTATTACATACAATGCTGACTTAAGAAAATATGCTTAGAGCACAGTGTGATTTGTTTTTTTCTGTAATGGCAGATGTGTATAAATATATAAGTTTATCTCATTCGTAGTCACTTATCTGCAACATTGAGCTGCGTTATCGATTTGCTTTCAGCACAAGTTACGGGGTTCGAATACCACATACAAAAAATAAATTTGAAAATTTAATTGAACAGGCACAGATATAAGTTTCATCTATGCTACTCGAAAGCAGTAAATATGCAAAGCCATAATATTTTGTTCAGATAGATTTGCTTAGATAGATATGGTTGGTGTAATTCATCCTCTCCGTGCTTGTCTGTCTGTATATTAAAAAAAGTCTCTTGTTTTACGACTCATCTACAGATTATACTATGTTGGGCATATTTATTCTAAATTTTTATGTTCATTCATTATTTCTGAGAAATGCTAACAATAAAGGTTATAATTCCTATACACAAGGGTGTATGTATACATATATACATGATTTTTTATATAGGGCATTAAGATGCTTACAAAATGTTACTAATTAATTTCTAAAAAAAAATATAAAAAATGTAACGTCTTGCTAAGCATGAGAACGTCGGGTCCTATTTTAAAAATAATATCTCTTTTGTTTTAGACCGTTTAAACTGTTTGAACTGTAAAAAGGTATTTGAATTTTTAAAAAAGTATTAAACTTTTCGGTCCCTCTGAGAAAGACTTAAAATACCTACTTAACTTGAAAGTAAATGTAAAAATTTCTACGCTTGAAGCGGTAAACTTTAGATCTTGAATTGTAAACTTTATCGAGCAATTTGAGCAGCTTTGTAGCACTTGAGTTCGGGTATTGCTTAATTGATTATGGAAACTTATTATGGAAATAATTTAAGTACGTCTATTACTAACAAAAATGATAAATTTAATTAGAATGTTCGTGTTTGAAAACTTTATTATTTTTTACATGCTATTAGTACTCGGTAGCGCAATTAGTAGAGCAACAGCACGGATCGCTTACGATGCCGGCTCAAGTCCTGCCCGAGCCGAAATTTTTTTCAAATTATTTTCGATTTTTAAAATTAGAATGTTCCTTCTCAATACAATTAATATATACTTTTGTAATTACTTAAGAATTAAAATGGCTTATTGATTCTTAACCAAAAACCATACTTTATTAAATTTGATATTATACTTAAAGCTACTAACTTTTAAAATATACATTTTTATAACATACATTTATAAAAATACAAAATATATTTGTACATTTTTAAACGCAAATCAAGTGTAAAGAATTTGTTTAAAATACATTTTTGTAATATATTTCACGTTTTAAACAGTCACAGGTGCAAGTTCAACTTGACTGGCTAGTCCGGCCAACGTTGTTTTATTATTTTCAAGATTCATATTATTATGTTAAAACAACTCTAACAAATAATTGTTATGTGGCCTGCCTACCTTCAAATTTTATCACTATAAACAAAATGTGAAGTAATCTTTAAAGATAGAGATATACTGTCGTGTATATTTTTATTATTTTAAGAGGACTCTTAAATACACATTTTTGATTTGTTCAACTATGTTCGCAGTCCACAAAATGGAAACCCTCAAAAAATTCCCCCTTTTTTTCTTAATTGTCCACTGGTCGAACACAAAAAAAATCGTTCCAGCAGTTTCTGTTTGTATAGATATCATTTGTAAAGATCATAATAAGCTCTATCTCCACAAGTACATACTTATAGTAATAAAACTATCTATGTTTACGTCAATTCAAGTTTATAGTGTATATATTTAATCCTTACTAATAATTATAAATGCGAAAGTAACTCTGTCTGTCTGTTACTTTTCACGCCAAAACTACTAAACGGATTTGAATTGAATAGATTGGCTGCGATAAATGCGCAATTGCATAAATTAATAAACAGCCTAAATAATTAAAAATTTTAGCCCAAGTCACTTTTTCACGCGAACGAAGTCACGGGCACAGCTAGTCCTTAATAAATCACTACATTTCCCCAAGGTATCACTTTATAGTTGTTTTAAATACGACCCTTATCTATTTGAATTCGCTTAATTAAATCCGGCTCGTTATCTTGATTGCTTGCGTAATGAAAAGGAAAGGTACTTTTTAAACGGAGTGATCCTAAAGAGATTACAACATCTTCAAAGACCTTTTTTACCTGTATGGGGCTCAATTACATTTCAGGGCCCAACTAACTGATCGATTTTATTTACAGTCATGTAGTAATCAAAAAATGTAGTAACCAGTAACCGATATTTTTTTTCTCGTGATTCGAATCCAGGACGAGTCTTATGTTTATTTACTGTTTATCGGGTACTAAATCCCGATAATACATACAAACAATAAAGGATTACAAATTTAAAAATATTTTTGATAAAGTACATACAAATAAATATAAAGTAAGACTTTTTTATATTTAATAACAAGACTACATTTAACGAAAAAAATATCTTGTTCTGCCAATTAAAACAAAATATTTTTGACGGTTTAACTAATTTTTAATTTATGTTATGGCCCGACGCTTAAGAGTGTTTTATATAAATATATAATAATCGTTTAAATTACAAAGAATAATAAAGAAACTAAGGATATAAATCGTAATTTTCAATAAAACAAACGAATATCTCTGTATATCTTGTATTTTCAGCTAGAACAAATTGTTTATCCGCCAACATATATATCGAAGCAATCTACCGAAGTTAATTCGATTAAAAGGGAAAATAAATACCTGGTACATTGCGTTCCGTGAAAGCCTCTGCCATTTCCGCCGTCGCCGCGAGTTCCGTTGCGTCCGACATGTTTACCCATTCGTTATCTGTCCGCCCAGATGTTGGCTAATAAATATTTTTTCCCTTTATTTCGAAATAAACGCTAAGAAATTGTATTCCTTTGTAGCTGAAGGATTTCGTTGTTTAATGCTCAAAAAATAACTAAAAGGATATCTCTATTTGTAGCTAAAAGGATAGCTCACATGCGATATAGTTAAGCTATAGGATAACATATAGTATGCTGTGATCGTAGATTCGAGTCCCGTTAGTGTCATAAATTTATATTTATTTGATTTTAAATTCGATTTTATGTTGTTGTTTAGGCGGTATTCTATTAATATAAATAGACTAAAATGTATTTTGGTGGACTCAACTATTAAATTTAAAACCTTAAATAGGTTTAAAATCTATACTTATATACAAGGCTGAAGAATTTGATGGTTAGTATTGGAACGCGAATATCAGGAACTACTCGTTCGAATTGAAATTTATTTTTGTGTTTGTTAGATCATTTATCGAGAAAGGCTAAAAAACATGGCGCTGTAAGTAATTGGAAGAAACAGTTGCAAATGTGAAAAAAAACGCGGAAAAATTTTCATCTCTGTGCAAAAACGGGTCAAGATACCCAAAAGTATGCATGAAAGAATAATTCCTCTTTAAATGATCTGAATAAAAAGTCTACGATGCTATATGTCTATATTTTAAGATTAACATGCAAGAACGACGTCGTGAGTAATAGCTTAAATTGAAAAAGATGAAAAGAAGATTTGCAGAAACAAATTTGGATGTCTAAAATAAGAATTCTACGCGAACATAGTCGTAGACTCAGCTAGTATGACATAACTTATAGTTTTAATGATAAAAAATTTATAAATGCGTTTTGAACTGAGATTTATTTATAGTGAAATTCGCTAAAATAGTCTTAGGTATTAAAATGTTGAAGAATTATAATAAACTATAAAACATACTTCAACTTAAAACTACGGTACGACATTTCGCCCCCTGTGACGGCTGCTGCTCCGAAGCATCCTGGGCGCCGGGCTGTGGTTTTAATAAATTAAACATATGTTAACAAATATACTTCACGTTTTAAACCGTTAAAAGTCTTTTATTTTGGTACTACTCGCGTAAATTACAGACAATACCTAAATAAACTACTTAATAAAGTGAATAAATAATTTACTTACAAAAGCTTTTCCCTACAAGAAGTATTAAAGTTCAGTTCCATTATAATATCAATTTCGTTAGGAGCGTTTCGTTTTAAATTGCCTTATAGTTCACCGATGCTCCCTACCATTACTCCAGGCTTGCTATTTATTACGTCATAAGTTTCGACAAGTTATCAATTTCGACGTTTTTCCTACAACAGATTGCTTACACGCAAAGCCGTCGTTATAATTTGTTCGAGGGTGAAGTTTTGAATATTGTAAGCAAGAAATAAACTTAAGACAGAGTAAAAGACCTTCGAGTAACTTATTTTATTTATTTTGTTATTAAAACTTACTTTCTGAAGCGTTATACATGAGTTCTAAGTTCATCATGAAACTGAACAAGAGAGGTTCTGGATTCACCCTGGGACGACAATGTTTCGGCCTTTATGTCTGGAGTCTACCAATTAATTTCTCTACATAAAAATGGATCAGCGAAACGGACGCAAAAATGTGTCTTCACAGAGAAAAAGAGGATTTAACTGTAACCCTAATAATTCCCATACTTAGTAACAGTTTAATTATGAATTAATTTCTATTATAAAGTGTATCCTATTTTAAAAAAAAATCACTTTAACGGCTTAAAACGCGATATTAGTTAAACTTATTTGAAAATGATTTTTAACTTCGGCCCGACGTTTCAGATGCTTTGCAGCAGCCGTGGTCACGGAGAGACAGTATTTAAGTGTATCCTAGTACTAAAAATTTAAGAAATATACAATTATTATATAACCAACATTTTTTTTTATTGTTACCAAAAACAATTATATTGATTGCTATCATAAAACCCGTGTTTTAAACCGTCAAAACTACTTAAAAAGCGCTATCCACTGTTTCACCAGAACCTTTACAACAACACATCAAAACCTTACTTAACCTTTTTGTTAGGAAACAACGATAAGTAATACAAATGCAATAACTTTTCCCGTCTTAAAAAATCCAAGGCCCATTTCGATCATCAAACTATAGTTATTTCGCCCTTAGACAAGATTATTTATGCGTAACGGCTCGTCAAAGCAACAAGTTGAAGGCTCTATTTGATAGATAAAGACATGACTTTGCTTAGCCTTCAATAAGTAGACAACATAAAGACGTAAAGTGTTATGTAATTAATTTAAGAGTTATTTAAAATAGTTAGTCCCTACATCTTAACACTTTTCAACAAGCTTACGGTTGTAAGTTTCTCTAAGACCTAAATTGGTAGCTATAACACTTAGACAAATTAATTAGGATGTCATTTAATTTGATTTGATTTGAAATTTGAAACAATTCAACATATCTTTAAGTTGATAATCAATGATAATTAAAACAAGTCGTTTAAATAAAACATTGTTAACGTTTTAAAACGCCAAAAACGGACTTAATAGTGTTTGAAATAAAGTAAACAAGGTTTTTAAATGTAATTAAAATTTTTTGACATAGTTAACATTTATGATGATGATTTTTTTAATTTTTACGTCAGTAATTTAAGCAATGATAATTAAAACAAGAACATTTAAATAAACCAACTTTAACGGTTTGAAACGCGAGTTGCTTAAAAGTGTTTTATTCACATGCAGTGTACTGCTCGCGTAAGCTACAGACTATATAAGGGGGCAGTTTGTTATATATTATTAAAAATTGCCACTACTAATGAGCCTTTCAATTATTAATAGATAATAGCTTGGCTGCGACCAGCTGTCGCGAGACGAGGAGTCCTGGCGACCTTGGTGACAGCTGCGATGGCCTGGTGTGATGGATATGACAAACCCTTGCTTGTACCGCTTAATGGATGGTAAGAGAATTCTGATTAATTATCTATGTCTTGCTATAGATACATTGCTACCAAAATATCATTTTATATGAGACTAACTGACCCGGCAAACGTTTTATTGCCATATTTAGTACTTCAACGAAATGTTATTACCATACTTATATCATGGAGATATAGAGAATGGTTCTTTTAAACATAACTTTGTGTATCTTGAACCGTTTTCGGAGCGCACGTAATAGAAATTTCAGCCGGTACTACCATACTGCCAGTAACAAATGTTGTTGACTACGAAATGTTGGACACAACGATATTGAATATCATTATATAGAGGTACTATTTGAACTTTACGTTAGTATAGTAAACACTTTCTACGGTTTAAAACACGAAATGTGTTGGTTAAATATATATACAAATTATTTTCATAACGACCCGATGTTTCGGATGTTTTGCAGCATCCGTGGTCTCTTTGAAACATCTTAATGTATTAGAAGACTAGCTGTGTCAGCGGCTTCGTTCGCGAGAATAGTTATTTTGGGCATCCAAATGTTTTGCACACCCGTTCACCTTTATAAACTTCAGCTGATACCCACAACGTCCGTCGCGTCTCTTTCCGTCGTTCTTGCATGATAATCTTAAAAGATAGACATATAGCGTCGCGGACTTTTTTTAGATCATTTAAAGAATCAGATCAAATCATTCTGTTATACATATTTTTTGGGTATCTTATACCGTCTTTGCAGCGTACGCGTCGGAAACCCATAATGATGAATATATTTTTTTAAATTTTTGACACATTTCTTGCTGTATCTTTGCTCTTTGTGTCGATGTTGCATTTCTTGAAAAATTCATTTTGTATTAAAAAGAATTTTTCAATTCGAACCCGTAGTTCCTGAGATTAACGCGTTCAAACAAACTCTTCAGCTTTATATATTAGTATAGATACAATTGGACTGGTATGACACTTGGGAGACACAAAAAAAAAAATTACTTCTCCCTGAAACAATAAATGTATTTAAGATTATTTTTACTTTCAGGAGGTTTGTTTGTTGTACATTAGATAAAAACATTATAACACTTTAAAATACAGTGTAAGTATAAAGTTTGATTCTCAATCAAGACGTATATATTAGTGAAAGTATCAATAAAATGCCCAACACAAATGCTTAAATATCCTTACGTAACGCGTTACTAAAAGTAATTTAACATACCGTTGAAACTTTTCAAACGCCTGTTCTATAAGAACACATGACACATAGTATATTACTGAAAACTTTTGTAATATGTCTAAAATGTCATCCATATTAAATACCTTGCAACAACAAAGCGAAAAGGGCGTACAATTTGGCGTTCTCAGGAGTCTCATATAAAAAATATAATATGTTGTGTGTTGTCAACTTGCTCAGTAATTTAAGGAGTGTTGCATTTTCTACTGCTAAGAATTTTGCCTAAAGTTGTTGCATTATATCTCTGTTTGTTATAAGACATACGATTTAAATTTTATGTATGTAACATATCAAAGCTACGGTGAAAATGAATTTATAACTTTTAAAAACCTAAATACTGTCTGTAGTTTACGCGAGTAGTACACACATTTAAACGAACGAAATCCAAAAGGTTTTATAAAATTTGAATAAAGCACTTTAACGGTTTAAAACGCAATAAAAAGTTGGTTGGTATTTCATGTTATTTTGCTGGAGTATTTCCCCTAACATCGAGTGACTCTCATGCTTGTCTCCAAAAAAATATTAAACTCGATGAATAAAAAATACAGCATGTATACTTCTTCCATTCCACTTCAAAAAGCCTTAATTTAAACGATGTAAAGTCAACGTTTTTCCACGTTTGAGTTGATAAGGCCGGTCTTATGGAACCCCATTATCCAATTACATCGGGAAAAATTACTTTAGCAAATGGAATACGAATCATTTGGGAGTTGAATTGTGGCGCGTTTAATGAAATGTTTCATGTGTTTACTCGTGAAGGGAAGTTTTAACAGTTACTAGTAGATTTTTAAGATAGATAAGCATAGGGTTCATCGAAACTTCGAAGCAAGATGTGCTGTCGGCCTATTTCACCTTGGATATTTGGAAATTTACAGACTGAAACCGAAATGCGATTAAACTTCATTGCTTTTTCATCTTTGAACGGTGGTACGTGACCGTTAGGGAATTTTGATATTCCTATCGGGTGATCTAGATATTAAATGGTATTCAATATTCAGATTTCCAAACGACCAACATGTTGCAGAAAAATTATAATTAAATTTGAAACATGTCGGACGCGGTGGTGGTCGAACCCACGATTATTAGCCATATATTGCCATCATTACAAAAACGCTTTGCAACGTATGTGGTCACGGGGGGGCCTATTTAAATGTGTACTATTCGCTTAAATCGACAATAAAAAAATGAATATGTCTTTTCGAAGATTCTTTTTCCACAGGCTTCACCCGCCGATTGCATCTACAGTACGAGTGATGTCCGTGGGAGGATCTACACCTGGCGCGAGTGCTCGCCTGCTTCAATTAGCACCTTCGGGACAGCACTTGGTGCTGGCGCCATCTGCTGGAGATCCACAGCTTTGGCATGTGATGTCCAATTCAAAAGTCCACACATTCAAAGGTAAATTCAATTTCCATACTGTGCCATCTTTTATCTACTAAATATTTTGACTGATGAGGACAGAAAAGCAATGCGTAGTACATGATTTCTAAATATATGTAACTAGCTGTGCCCCACGACTTAGTCCTCGTGGAAGAGTTATTTTGGGAATTATATCAACAATATATAGTCGCCACTTGGTGTCATGAACCGTTTTCGCAGTGCACGCAACGGAAGATCCTCATGAGCATGAAAATTTTTCTCCACTTTTTCCACACATCCCTCTCTTTCTTTGTTGCT